GATTTGGCTCCCAAAGTGGCACTGTGTGCTTGGGGTTTCATAGGGGAGTTCTGCATTCACTGTGAACTGGCAGATCTTTGCAGTATCCAGGATTAGCCCATGGTCTGTGTGTTCTTAGTGGTCTCTTATAGCTGGAAAAGATTGGCAGGGTTTGAGGTGGAAGTAGGGACCTGGATGCTTCAGTGGAGAATCCTGCTCCCCTTCCTCCTGTCATAGGAGGTTTTCGTTGCCTCTGATTTCTTCCTCAGTTCAGACAATTTACCTCTTTTTGTCTTCCGCTGAGACTTGGCGCTCCAAAATCACCACCATCCAGTTCCTTCATTCTGTCAATGTCAGTTCACTCTTCTTCTCCAACTGCAGCTATATATCCAATTATTGTTGTTATTATTATTACTTAGAGATTTTTGCCACAGGGCACAAGCACTAACCAGAGAGACAAGGAGAGTGAAAGTGAGCATTCACCTCCTAGAGAGGCTGGCTGGCCACGCCACAATCCCTTCCCCTTCTTTTTCCTCTCGGGATTCCGGACAAACACACACGTGCACCCAGCATGAGTTTCAGATCGCCAGGTCCAGAACTCAAACTGTGAAGGGCCATGTGGGAGTCCAGTGCCTTAGCTATTATTGCCACCTGCTAGCCCCATATCCAACTGTTTTTGACTTGTCTTCCAGAGAGGTGCTATAGTAGATGTCCCTATTCAGTCATCTTGCCCCTCTCTTGCTCCATTTGATGCATTTTGATAAATGTATAAACCTGTTTTGGGTTTTTTTTTTTAACCATAAAACCCTGTAGATATAGAATATTATCATAACCTCAAAATATGTCTTGATGATTCCTTTCAGTCTATTCCTACTGCCATCTTTAGAAAGGCAACCACTGTTTTGATTTTTTTTATCAGTGATTTTTTTCTATTCAATAACTTCATATTAAAAGAATATCATATGTACTTTTTATGTTGATTCTTTCAGGAGGTTTTTTAAATTTTTGATTTTCAGCATGAGCATAATCTATCCCTCTTTTATGACTCAGTAATATTCCATTGTATGAATATGTCAGTTTATTCATTCTCATGTTTGTGGATATCAAGGCTGTTACCAGTTTTTGAAGTATTATGAATAAACCCACTCTGTATAATTTTTTATAGGTGTTTAAGTTCAAATGCTTTTATTTCTTTTAGCTAAATTTCTAGGAAAGAAATTGCTGAGTCATAGGTATGTGTTTTGGTTTCTAAAGAAACTAAAAGAGTTTTTTTCCAAAAAAGTTGTACAATTTTGTACTTCCACCGACAATGTATAAGAGTTTCATACTAGTGGTTCCATGGTGTAATGTTGAGCACTCTGGACTCTGAATCCAGCGATCCGAGTTCAAATCTCGGTGGGACCTTTATGTTGGGAACCAGCAGTTAGTGTAATGGCTATGTCACTGAACTCCCACATAGTCGACCGCGGTTCGCGTCCTGGACCCGGTGGCTTAAAACTCACGCCGGGCACGTGTGCATGTGTGCCCAAGATCCTGAGAGGAGAACAGAGGGGAAGGGATTGCGGCATGACCATCCCCCCTGGGGGGTGATTTCTCGCTTTCTGTCTCTATGTCTCTCTCTGTCTGTCTGGCAAGCGCACGCGCCCTATAGAGAAAATCTCTCCAAAAAAAAAGAGTTTCAGTTGCTCCACATCCTCATCAGCATCTGGTGTTGTCACTGTTATTACTTTTAGTCATTCTAATAGATTTAGTGCTCAATAACCCATTATAATTTGAGTGTGCATTTTCTTGTTCACTAATGATGTTGAACACTTTTTTGTGTACTAACTAGCCATTCAGATATCTTCTTCTGAAAAGCGAATCTTCCATCCCTATTTTTTGTGGAGAATGAAGTGGAGTTGACTTTTATTACCAATATATCATAATTTTATATATATCCTGAATAACAGTCCTTTGTCAAATATGTGTTTTTCACATATTTTCTCTCAGTTTTTGGCTTATCTATTGATTTTCTTACTCATACCTTTTGATGAGCAGAAGTTTTGAGTTTCTGATGAAGTCTAATTTACCCAATTTTTTCTTTAGCTTGTCTTTCTCTGAACATTGGCTATCCCAAATTATGATTATATTCTCTTGTGTTTTCTTATGCAAGTTTTATAGTTTTCATTTTTATTTTTATATCTATTTGGTCTTCTAATGCATTTTGCATCATGACTTTCCAGACCCATTATTAATTTGGTCAAATTAACTTTTGTATATTATATTGCTTGAGGTCAAAGGAGGAATTGTGGTATGACTATCGCCCATGAGGGCTGCTTTGTCAAGATAGGCAGTATATACAAGGAGAAAGATCATACTTCCCTGACTAAATAATATAGTAACCTGTGTGGTCAGTGAATGACAGTAATAATAGTAATGTAGTACTCAACCATCATTTATTCTAGTTTGAAATATGTGTTGCTTATCTGGAAAACTTAATGGTCAAGTTTACTTTATTTTCAGTTATACATGTAGGAAAAATGAAAGATATTGTCTGATATTCGTATTTACTGTTATACACGTAGGAAAAATGAAAGATATTGTCTGATATTCTAGGACCTTCTTCAAGTTGGATTACTCTGTTAGGGAAAAGCTGAGAAAAGATAGGGCTCTTACACTGAGAATAGAGAGAAAAGAGAAATTTAGTTTCAGTCTCTCCTTTACTCTTACTCAGCTATCAACATAGATCACTTCTTTGATCCCAAAATGTGTGGGAATTTCACCCCATCAGCAAGCAAGCAAGTAATTCTTCAGTGGACACCAATTCCTCCAATTCAACATCTTACAATATCCTCCAGTTCAATTCAGTTCTTACACTATCAACCTGGAGATAATGTCAGATGCCACAGATTGAGGACTTCGTCCCCAAAACTACCCCCAACAAAACACACACACACACACACACACACACACACACACACCTTACCATTCACAGCTATATACTGGAACTCTTCAAAAAAGTTCATGGAAAGTGCTTGTTTTTGAAAAAAATATATGTGACTTTTTTTGCACCAAAATAACCTTGTATTATAATTCCATTTTTTGCAAAATTTTTCCTTAGGTTTATTTATTTCTTTCTTCCATGAATGAGAGAGACAGCAACAGAGTAATAGGAGTGCCAAACAGTTCATACCACAATCTACCCCTAGCTTCAGTCAGCTCCAGAATCATGTATATTTTTGCACCCAACATGTTCAGGAAGGTCTTCAGACTCAAACCCAGAACCTTCCCATTGAATCAGTCTCACAGAGTGTGAGTTATCACTGTGCCACTGTTTGGCCCTACATGAATTTTTAGAAGTCACTTCTTATATGTAGGATAAATACTTATAGGGTAAACTGCTGGGTCAAAAAGGTTGTGCTTCTTTGTTTTTATAAGATTTGCCAAACTGATATTTATAAAAGTTGCCATCCATAGAGTCATAGCCCCTATAAAGAAATTAAATAAAAATTATTGCAATTATCAGAAATATTATAGTATTTGTGATAATTATCAAAAACAGTATTAATCATGTGACTATAATTGACTTTCAGGCCATAGTTATAGTATATTCAGCTGAATATTTCTTTCTCTTGATTGTTCAAAGTTGATGACCTGGCATGTGGTACCTACTGTGTTTTAAAATAAATTTACTTACCATTTCAAGATCATGGAAATACCAATTTTAATCTTTAATTTAAATAATAAACTAATACTGTGAATAGCAAACAAGTTTCAGGCACTATTTTAAGGGGTTTATGTATTTCAGTTCATTTAATTTTCACAACAATTCTATAAAGCAATTTTAATTTTTATCCAGGTTTACAGTTGAGGAGACTAAAACCTAAAGATACTGCTACTTTGCAGAGTTGGCTACAGTTAGGGCTAAGATCTAGACCTAAGATAGTTGCGAAGTATTACTTGCAACTGAACCTGAGACTGAATGCCCCATAAACATTTTAATTTTTTCAAAAAACTGTGTTATATGTTATATACATATTCACACATCTATTATTTCTTGAGTTGGTATTCATACTCATTACAAATGATCTTTCCCCGTCGTCTGCTTTGTTCTGCTTTCAAACCTTTACACATGAGGTAGATTAAACCATTTTTGTTTTGTCCTGAGGACACCTAGAAATTAGGAACCGAGTTGAATTTTTATGTCTGTCCCCAGGATAATAACTATATAGCAATTTTACATTATTCATTTTAAATTGATGACTCTCAAGTTATTTCAAAAATATGCCCGAGAAGCTCCCAAGAAACATTTATAATAATAAATGTTTAAATGTTTTTTAAAAAATAGCTTCCTGTGGTTCTTTCAACAAGCTCCCGTGACACTTTTCATCTGCACGAGAGTGGCCGTATTCTCCTGGACCTTGACATGCAGGCTTAGGTGAAATATTGTGGGCATAAAAATTGCATTTTGTAGGTCTGCTAGGAAGAGGTCATGCAAAAGTCATCTTTGATTTGTTAATGGAACTTTTTTTAGATTTAGTATATGGCAGAAATGATGTGCGTCCTAAGGGGAAAAAAACAGTCGATTTTATAAAGGTTTATTTTCATATTTTATACACTGCAGTTCTGTTGTGTGTTTTTGATTTAGTAACAATTTATGTGTTTTTCTGTCGCAGAGCACTGCGGCCTGTGGTGTTGAGGCTCACAGCGATGCCATCCAGCCCTGCCACATCAGAGAGGCCATTCGACGCTACGGCCACAAGATTGGCCCCCTTTCCCCATTCACAGTACGTAATAACAGAGTTATAAAAAGTTATATTTATAATCTGAAAGAATTTTGATTTTCAAGTGGTCAAATGAAGAAGCAGTGGAATTGTTGAAAGCAATTTGTGGTGACAGTAATTTTGTTGTATAAAAGTGGCATAATTCTGTTGGGAAATAAAAGTTAGTCATTTTTGTCTGTTTTTGGAAGGACACTTTTTTTTCTAAAAAATATTATTTTCTTTCAATTACAAATTAAGCTTTTTTGGTTGGGGCTTATATTTTCTATTTTTCAAAGTTCAGGTTTATAAAACTTTTTTGTTAAATTACATGTATCCAAATATTGCTAGAAGCACTTTATATTTTAAAATTGTTTAGATTGGCATTACCACTTCTATCAGATGTCCCCCTGAACATACTTTGAGTTGGAAGAAGAAGAAATGATTTCTCTACTGGCTTTGAACTAGGCTGAGATGCACAGTTTTTCACATTTTCAAATGACTCAAGAGCTTATAATCACAATTTTGTTTTTTTTAAATGGGAAATTAAAGACTAGATATTTCAATAGGCTAACGAAAGTATATGCGTGCCTGTGTGTGCTTTAATTAAAGGTTCATCTTGTGACCTTTGAAAGAAAAATCATTACTCATGTTAACAGAAGCTCTCTAAGTCTTTATTAGAAATTGATTAGATATTCAGAAAGTGAGGTTTTATTTATATGCTAGGAAACAGTAAAAATTACTTTTTTTAATAATCACTTCCTTTTTTACATAATAATGTAGACTATATGTATAGCATTATACATAAGTAAATAAATAACATAGTATTACTATGAGTAGTCATAGTATTACTAAGAGTAGATTTTGCTATTTTTCTCATAATAAGATTTCTTCTGATTTATATTATGTTCCTTTTCCCCTGTGTTCAGTTAAAGAGAATGCTTTCTTTCTGTGCTTTATTCTTATTGGTGTTAACTATATGGATTCCTGGGGTGACAGCATGAATGTGCTTTATAAATGTCTCCAGCAGCTGTAATGGTAATGATTATTTTCACTTTTGTTCAATCTTTAGAATTTGTCCTGTGTATCATAAAAACACAATTTTAATATTTCTGATTAATATATCCTTTTGCGTGAATAGTTTGAGAGTCTTACAATTGAAAAAGGAAAGAATGATATAGGCATCCCTTTTGTTTTTTTCCCT